CGCAACCGGCCAAGGTGCCTGCGTCGAGGGGCGTGTCGCCTGACCCGTGGAGGTTGAGTGACGGGCGGATGAGCGATGGGCGGCGGAGCGTGAGCCGGGAGAGGTCGTTTCAGGAGCTGAAGAGGAAGAGTGATGCCTCGCTGGGGGTGGGATCGGAGGGCGTGGATGCGGACAGGCTGTCGGCCAGCAACGCGTTTGGCCTGCAGAATGTCTGGGAGCCGCCGCCGCTTGCTGCTGAACGTTCGACCGACCGCGTGTCGCTGAATGGGAAGGTGGCTGGTCTGGATCATAAACCAGAGCCGTCAATTGCTCCCTCGGTTGGAATAGCAGCTGGTTCTCCAGGGGTCACTGCAGTTTCGGCGTCGGAGTCTCCAAGTGTTTTGTCTGAGGAGTCGTCAATAACCTCTGAGGCCCAATCGATATCTCGACCAGAATCGCCAGTTGGCCTTCCCCCTGGGCCGGCCATTCCAGGTGGTGCTGATGATGAGGACCTGGATCAGAAACGCAAAGTGTCTACTAAGGTTCAAGGCCTGGTTGATATGTATGATGGGATATCTCGAAGTGCATCTCAAAACGCATCTCCTAATATCGGGGCTACTTCACCAAGGACACCTACGGGGATTTCGATGACAGCGTTATTATCAAGACCTGAATTACAGGTTGATGATCAAGACTCAGATGTACCGTCTGAGAAAGATGCTACGCAAGCTGATGAAGAGGTCCATCCAACGGAGGGTAGCGACGCCCCCGAACCTCCCAGCCATACGAATACAGACGCAGATGCTACATTATCAAGTTCTATACCTGCTTCTCAAAGAAAACAACACTCAAGGGTCCATTCTATCGACTTTCATGTTGACATGTCCAACCTTGATGATTTATTCCCCACCACACCCCCTATCACAGTTGATCCAGAGGAGGTTCCAGACGTTATTATCAAAGACTCTTTTACGTCAATATCCGAACGCAAAACCTGGTATCGGATCTCACGATTAGGCGCAATGCGAATGCACCAACTGGGCGACGAGGAAAACTATGTGCGTGTGGATTGGAAGCGTTCTGCTGCTCGCCAGGACACACTAAAGATCGTTCGTCGGTGGATGGAGGAAGAGTCTGGCGGACGTCCTACACTTGGCCGGAAGGTGGGTGCCATTGGTGGATCTGTCTTCAACTGGAACTCTTCTGCGCCGCCTGTGGAAATTGGCGAGCTTCTTCGTAAGAGGGGTGGACATTCGAAGGCGGGCTCGAGCGCTTCACGGGCATCAGGTATTCTATCTCCGGCAACAGCTGAATTCAGCTGGGCCACGCCGCCAGTCTCTCCAGGCATATCAAACCGCCCACCATCACAAGCTGCGCGGACGAGTGAATCAAGAGCCCGCGCCAGCGCTTCATCTCGACCACAATCAATGGTCTTACCACGAGCAGCACCGCCACCATCATCACCGGAAACGCAGACGAGTGAATCAGGGCCCGGGACTGGTGCTTCGACTCGACCGCAATCGATGGTCTTGCCGCGTGCACCACCGCCACCTTCTGATCCTTCGGCAGAGTTTATCGAGCCGCCGAAGATTCAACCCGTTCCTATCATCACCAGGTCTGTTGATGTTGCGGCTCGGCCATCTATAGACCAGACTCTGTCTAAACCCGTCCCTACACCGATCGTAGTGAATGGATCCAGGGGTTCGTTTTCAGATGACAAAGATGCTAGTGATGACGAAGACGAAGATGACGAGGAGGAGGATGATTGGGGAGAAATGGTAACCTCACCTACTGCTGAAACAAGCCCGTGGCCGTCGAGTGGGCCCACTCATGTTTGGCCTGCAGAACCTGTGAAAATCTCAACCGATATAAAAGCGACGAAGGATCCCTCAGAGGATACCTCCTTGGAAAAGAGCAAAGATGAAATCATCAGTCCCGGGTGGCCTACAGTTGTGTCTGCTCAGACTTGGCCTGTGGCAGATGCTAAACTCTCCACCAATATAGGAGAAGATGCTATGAAACTGTTGGAGGGCGTATCCCCAGACATAAGCAGGGACGAAATTGTTAGCCCTGGATGGCCTACTGTTGGGGCCACCATCACTTGGCCCGTGGCAGCAGTAAAGATCTCAACCAACATTGAAGCGCCAAAGAAACTTCCAGAGGACACATCAGCGGATAAGAGCAAAGATGAAATAATCAGCCCCGGAGTGTGGCCTACAGTTGTGCCCAACCACACTTGGTCTGTCCCAGACGTCAAGATCAACATCTCGACCAACGTCGAAGAGACAAAGGCACTACCAGACAATACATCGCCAGACGAGAGCAAACATGAAATAGTAAGCCCAGGAGTGTGGCCTATGCCATCACAACAAGACGAAGACCCTGCTCCTGCAACCTTTGGCGATATGGGGCTACAACCAACTGGGACAGGAATGGTCGCTCCTCAGCACCCGCTCTCTGTACCAAAACAAAAACCAAAGCCGCGGCCTTTGGCATCATTAGACTCAGCTCTCGCTTGGACCGGAGAGCCTTTGAACTCTCCGGCGCTGTCACCTCTATTAATGGAATCGCCTCCACCCCCGCCTCCTCCCAAATCACCGAGGAGCTTCGCTGCGACGGGGCCCAACCAGGCCCTGTTCGCTGGTGAAGAGGAAACGGCTACGAGCATTTTAGGAAACCTCCCAGATCTGTCATACATGCTGAGATGACACGGGATTGTAATTTTTTTCTTGGACATCGGTTTTGGGCATAGCGGTACTATCTTGAATATACAATTACATCACTTATTGACCTACACCAATTGGATTTCTTTCATGTTAGCTTATCCTCATTATTCTCTTTTGTGAATGCGGGTCTTTTAGTCGCTATGAGCTATCCTGTTATGCTTAGACCTGCCACTGCCATAAGTTGTTGTTGATTCTTTCTTAGGTTTGCTGTACAATACGTCCGCTTTTCCCTTGCAGAAGACTGTATACATAGCGTGTTAAACTGGCCCTATTTCAATGCAATCCTCATCTTTCACCTGTTATCGTGAACCATACTAGCTCGATCTGCTTTACCCCATGGCGTGTCTGGATGTTTCTCAGGGGTATAAGACCTTTATAAGAACCAATTACAATTCCTTTGCCTGGAAACAGGAAGTGGTCCCGGAGCGTATTTTCCCGCCAGTGGTTTCGACTTTGCTTCGAAACCAAGCGATAATCTGGCATCCTTGATTCACAACAAGACTATCGTGATGGAAACACTCCTCTTGACTAAATTTTGTTTATTCAATGGTAGCAAAACTAAAAGCAGAATTCCTCCCTTGAGCTCTCGGGACAGAGAGTTGCCTAAGCAGTTGGCCCCCCAATAGCCGTGGTAATGGAACCATCCTCAATGTACACCCCAGAGAAGAACAGGTCCTCGTTCGCATCAGCATCCCCGTTCGGCAGCTCGAGAACCCCGACGTGCCAGTCCTGCCCGTTGCTGGACGCGCTCACGGACACGGGCGCGACGACCCTCGTCAGGGGGCTGCTGCCCTCGGAGTGCCAGAGCCCGACGCTCCCGCCGTCAAAGTCGATCTCGTAGGCAATGTTGTGCCACACGCCCGCGTCCCACGCCGTCTCCCAGAGCGACTGCCCGTTGGCGTACCAGCGCAGGTGGTTGGTGCTCTCGAACCCGGATCCGCCCGACTTGAGCTCGGTGAAGTGCGACTCGAAGAAGGCGATCTGGTGCTCCCGGCGAGCCGAGGGGACGTTGGTCGCCGCGCGCGAGATGCTGAAGTGGTACCACTTCTTGCCCTTGCCGATCGCCGCTTTCGTCTGGGGGATGATCTCCGTGCGCCGCATGTTCTGCCCGTTCCAGAAGGACGTCGAGGTGAGGCTGATCTTGGCGCCCTTTGTCGAGACGGCGTCGGCCGGGTTCTTGTGGGCGGTGGAGAGGTCGACGTACTCGGTCGTGGCGCCGCTGCCGTGGATGTACCACTGGTAGGGGCCGACCTGGTTGGCCCAGCTCCACTTGTCGAGGTCGGTCGCTGAGGTGAGGTCGTTGAAGCGGCCGTCCCAGAGGAGGGCGGCGTTGGAGAGGCCGACGAGGGCGGCGAGCGCGGATAGGCCTTGGGGCTTCATTGTGGCGGTTTTTTTTTACCTAGTGAGGGACTCCGACTGCTGGCTTCTACTTTTGATGGTCGAATTGACTGAGGAGAATCATGATTTGGGATATTCTCCTAGCCTTTATATACACTCGGATCTTTTGTTTCAGTTGAATCAGTGTTGTCGATCGCGGAGCATCGCCCTCCGTGCCGATAGCCCCAGGGGATTTTCGCACCGGCGTCCCGCAGTGGTATTTTCACTTCATCCTCCGCCATGCCAAATTAAACAGGCGAATGGACAGACGAAAGAGCATCGTGCTTCGTGAGGTGGGCGACGGGTATGGGGCTGATTGGTCGTCTTGGCGCAGGTTGGTTTCATCATCCCGGTGTTCCGGCGCGAGGTTTCACGTTGAAGCATGAACCCCCTAGACGAGGCCGTTAGCGAAACGCGGAAGATCGTATTTAATGATGGCACAATTCAGGGCCTGAAGTTGCGACTTGTGTTTTGGGCTCATGACTGAATAATAGGGGTACAATGAAGGGTTAAGAGAGAGAAAAAAAAAACAAGTCTATTCATTCTATTCGAGTCTGACGGGATTACCCAGCGGAACGTCCTCCCCCTCCTCCTCTTCATCCCCATTAAGGAACTTGCTGGGAGGTTTCACGAAAATAAGGGCTGAGAATGTCAGTGCGCAGAGGAGTGAAATGTAGAACCACGGCAGGCCTGACCAGATACCCTTCCACTCCAGGCCTTTGTTAAAGAACCACGCGGTGATTGGCCCGCCGAGGAAAGAGCCTAGAACTTCCACCATTGACAGCAAGGCGTAGAGTCGAGAAATGTGGCTGGCGTCGACGTAGTGCGAGACGGTTGCTCTCGCGAGTGGGCTGTCGGCTGCTCCAAAGACGGAAATAAAGAGCGCCATGATGAACATGACAATGTTGGGACTGATGCCCTGCAGAATGCCCGCAATGGTCAGGATGAGCATTGAGATCCGGGTCAGGAACAGATCTTTTCCGAATGAGGTGAAGCGGTATCTGGGCGACATGAGGACCTCTGACACTTTGGGCAGGACGGCAAGAATGATGATGTGTAGTATTCCCAATGGGGAGAGGAGGAAGGTCACCTCTGCAAGTGTCCATCCGTAATGCTTGCTGACATATTGCGCAAGAGTGGACATGGAAGCTGATGCCCTGGGGTGCTCGGTTAAGTAGACGACTGAGACTAGGAGGATGTTTCTATCTCGAAGTAATCCAGTGGTCCGTTTGAGATCTTGGAAGCCATGAGCAATCTGATCTCTGAGCGAAGCACCGCTTCCCACAACCGACTTTGAGTCGATCTTGAGAGTCTCGGGAATAAAAGCAATGAGGGCGCAGGCGAGGGGGACAATGGCCACGGAAACGTAGATGGGAAGCCAGGCGTTGTAGGTTTTCATCAAGATGCCACTGATCACCGGGCCGAGGAGCCCCCCAGCACTGGCACCGATCATAAGGTAGAGGAAGTTGGATGCCCTGTACTTTCGTTAACAACTCGCGTGGTTTCATGCAAGAGACTGACAGAACGGGTGGGACTCACTTGTTCTCTTCGGTGCTCACATCAGTTGCAGCAGCGTAGAGCGTTGTCATGAGCACGGTAAAGCCACCGCCGAACAAGGTGAAGACGGAGCCAATCATGAGAAAGTAGGGGTTTTTGCGGATGATGCTACTCAATTCGCTCAAACCAAAAGGCGTAGAGGCAAATGCCAACGCCATGCCGGCATAAGACATGATGAGGACTGGCTTCCGGCCAATGCTGTCTGATAGCAAGCCATAGGGGTAAGCAACAATGAAGTCTAAATGTCCAATTCGGTCAGTCTCTCATTCAATATGATAGGGGAGCCAAACGGTCGGGTTATGGAAGTGAATTCGACTCACTAATAACAGCACCAACCACGGCCAACCATCCCATAAGCAGGGCCAGGTTGGCCTGGACCTCATCGACTTTGCACTTCATCTCCTCAATCATCTCGTTGGAGTCATCCTTGTAGTAGACATGGCAGAGAGCATCCTCAATAAGGCGATATATGGGAATGATCATGATCATGGCGCTCAGGATGACGAAAAACTTGGTCGCGGCAATGAGCAGCACGACGGAGCCAGGTGTCTTGACCTGCCATGATGCGGCCTTGATGAAGATAGTCCTTTGCTCAGGCACGGCACTGTCCGGGGTCGAAGGCTTGCCGCGTGTCTCTGTGTGGTCCTGATCCTCGTAGTCGAGGAAGGGGACGTCCTCATCATGGCCATGGTCATGGTCATGGTCATGGTCATGGTCATAGTCCTCCAGGGCCACGGCATCCGCGAGGCTCGAAGAGCGACGGGGCCGGTGCAAAGGGCCCCCCATTGGACAGGAGAGTAGTCAGGGCGATGCCGCAAAGAATGAACAGAAGGGTGATGAAATCGTAGAAGCTGGAGGATGTGCTCTGTCGCGAAAATGAATTATTAGCTGGGTCGCGACTTGGATAAGGCTGAATCTAGCGGCAGCTGTAAGCGTCGGATCTTCTGGAGCTACACGCGCTAATGCCAGCTGTCACCCCTATTAATTAGGCTTAGGTAGGCACTGTTAGTACATAGACAGATCATCAGCCACTGCGAAAGGGAGAGAATGAATAAAGAAGGGATGCAAATTCGAGACAGCAATCCTAATAAGCCCAGCTGGATACGCGGTGGATAAGCAAACTCCGACTGTTGTATGACTCCGGGCCAATTAGACGGTACAGCACAGCCTCCTCCTAACATAAGATTGACGCCCGTCATGGCCACTGTACCCGGCCGACGCAATGCCATGCAGGGAGGTCCAGCTGGGGATTCAATACAAGCCATCAACGCTCTCAATAGAATCCCCCATCGCAGACCAGGGCGGCCTCAAGCACAAAGACCGTGTAGATACTGCATCTATTGCGACCTCACCTTTTAAAAATAGCACCATGGCCCAGACAGGGACATTCCGTCAGATGTAATCCAGCACATTATCGAGATAGGCCCCGGTTTGTGCTACGCAATGGCAGGCCCCTGTATTCTCCACCTCCCATGTGTATCGGACTTGCACTGTTCTTGATTCTTACCGAATAACCTGAAGCGGACATTTGCATTGCTTCCCCTCTGTCCAAATTCCAATCCCACCAATCTAAATGGCTGGTGGATGCAGCTATAATTTACTCAGAATAGCCAACTCCATAATCAGCTCGGATAAGCTCCCAATTGCCCGCCATTGCGTAGCACAAGCTGGGGGGCACGACAAACACTCATGCTGGCCATTGCTGCACCCTTGGATCTTATTAGCTAAGGAGGGATCCGGGTCGCCCGTAGATCCCAGCTTGCATCATGTGCCTACGGAAAGCGATAGTATACGCCTAGTACCGATACGTCAACCGTGAATGTTCCAAGTTTAGGACCCTTCACATGAGAAACAACAACCCTTCCAGTTCAAATTATGAAAAATTGACATCCCAGCCTATCCGCTTCACAACCTTATGAAAAGATACCAGAGCTGATTTCAATATCCAGGCTATTATTTGGATTGTTATCCTTTCAACCGGGAGTTGATCGGCCAACAGGTTTCGATGGACCCAATACCCTTATTGCAAGACCACAGCTGCCGGCGCTATTTGTTAGTGTATGACTGAGATGCTGCGTAAAGCCCCTCATTCAAGCCCCATCGACACTCATAGATCCAACTCTCTGACCCATGCGAGACCATCATTCACAGCTTCCATCCAGCGTCTCCTATAAAGCTCATTTAAGCTGAGAACCCCCGCGCAAATCCTCACACAGAGAAAGAAATCATATAGTCATCTGGACAGAATGGCTGCACCCCTCCGCATCGGCTTCGTCCCGGAGCACTTCTCCACCCCGCTGTACTTTGCCAAGCAGCATTACGGCCTCAATGCGGAACTGATCCCATTCCCCTCCGGCACGGGCCATATGGTTACAGCCATTAGAGCAGGCGAGATCGATGTCGGAATCGGTCTGACAGAGGGCTGGATTGCAGGCCTAGGAAAGGAGGATGTGGAAGGCGACGGCGGCTACCGTCTGGTCGGCACATACGTTGAGACACCTCTGTGTAAGACAAAGGCAAGACTCATCACAACCTGACATTGACTGACCGCAACTCACAGGCTGGGCCATCTCTACGGGGTCCAAGCGCCCTGAGATCGACTCAGTATCCTCGCTGAAGGGTGGCAAAATCGGCGTGTCCCGCATTGGCTCCGGCAGCTATGTCATGGGGTTCGTTCTGGCTGACCAGCAGGGCTGGCTGGACCCTTCACTCAGCACGCCGCCCTTCTCGGACACTGTCGTGCTGAACAACTTCGAGAACCTCCGCAATGCCGTCAACTCGGGCGAGGCCGACTTCTTCATGTGGGAGCATTTCACGTCCAAGAAGTTCTACGACTCGGGTGAGATCCGGCGGGTCGGTGAGATCTACACGCCCTGGAGCAGCTGGAAGATTGTGACGTCGACCGCGCTCACTGCCGGCGACAAACTTGATGCTCGAGTCCAGGATCTGTTCGGGAAGCTTGACCAGGGCATTGAGCACTTTAACAACAACCAAGAGGAGTCGGTCAAGTACATTTCGACTAGCCTAGGTTACACAGAGCCGGATGCAAGGGAATGGCTCAAGACGGTCAGGTTCCCCGTCAAGACTCAGGGCATCAAGCCCGAGGTGGTAGAGAACTGTGTTTCCATTCTGAGGAAGGCAGGCGTGCTGAAGGATGGCAAAGGGATGCAGCCCCGTGAGATGGTACTAAGCTGAATTGTGGCACGTGAGATGAGGCGTTAGAAGTAGAGCAGCTGCTCTTATATTTAACCCATACGGAAATGCCGAACCGCGTGACGAATCTTAAGTCCCAGCTGCGGCAGACGGAATCATATGTCCGCATTTGGCCCTGTTGATGCCATCATGTGTTATCGATTGGAAATGAGCATCTCAAACAAGCCCCCAACCAGCAGTCAGACGTCCTGGGTCACAGGCTGTTTGCAGGCCTCTGAGCGGCTCCCCACAGCGACCCAAGCCAGCTAGAGTACCCGCCGTGGGTCTGCAGGGCACAAATGCCGCCCTGTGGATGGCTGAAACACCACGGCACCCGGCCCCTGGCGTTATGCTGCCATCTCGCTCCGAAATAGCGGCAGCCCACCGGAACGAACTGACTGACAAGGAGGTAATAATACCCACCCACCCGCCAATCCATCTCGAGAAAGACCAACGAGCATCTTGTTGCTGTCGATCATTTGGTGTTTTCCCCCTTTGCAACCCAGTTCGACGACTATTCACCGCGATACCTACTCCCTACCGGGTATACGTGTCTTCAAGGGACTGCCCTCCTGACATGCTGTCGGATGTCTGCTATTGAGCCGCCCTCGCATTCCTCGATGGGACAACGTACTGCGACACTTGCGACGACACGCCGTGGGAAGCCTGGATAGACAAGGCCACACCTGTCACCTGGAATACCGTCTACGAACCGAAACACATAATTATCCGACAGAATGGCTGCCGCCAGTGGAGCTGAATTTCAAGAGGGCCCGGTTCACTTGGGGGATCGACGATTTTCGGACGATGCGACCGACCTGGCAGCCTCAATGGGTTCATCTGCTGGATTGCGGGCGACAGCGACCGCCCCTCCGGGTGGTATTCGGTCAAGGCTGGGTATCGCAAGGAGAACGCTGGGATTGGGCCTACTCATGGTCACAGTGTGTCTCTGGACGGCTTCCAATTTCCTGGCCAGTGTATGCGCCCCCAAACCCATGCTTCCTCCATGAAGGAGCTGAATCTCTTGCTGACTGAACGACCCTGCCGCAGACGATATTTTCAGATGGAACCTACGATAAACCATTCTTCGTTGTTTACGCCAACTCCTCTCTCTTCGCCCTCTCGATGCTTCCAAGATTTACGAAATATTTAATACGGAACGGGTTCCGGGGCTTACAACATGACCTAGGCCAAATGTGGCATGAACAACGACATGGGAAATCGGCGAGTAAGACCGTCGAGGACGTGACCGCAGACGAGACGGTCGGCGAGCGGTTGTTGGTGGAAGAGGATGACGAGCTTGGCAGATCGGTGGAGCTATCGGGGGTGATACCACAGGAGAAGCTGGACGTGCGCGAAACCGCCATGCTCAGCCTCGAGTTCTCCATGCTATGGTTCCTCGCCAACTACTTTGCATCTGCGTGCCTGCAGCACACGAGCGTGGCGAGCGCGACGATCCTGTCGTCGACGAGCAGCGTGTGGACGCTCATCTTCTGTGCCGTGTTCGTGGTGGAGCGGTTCACCCTCCGGAAACTCATTGGCGTGCTCGCATCTCTCGCGGGCATCGCGCTGGTCTCCACGGTAGACCTCTCGGGCGGAAGCGATCAGGATCGGGGGTCGTTCCCGCACAAGTCGACCACCGAGATTGCTGTTGGAGATTTCATGGCGCTGATCGGCGCTGTCATCTATGGCTTGTATGTGACCGTGATGAAGAGACGTGTGGGGAACGAAGATAGGGTCGACATGAGGTTGTTCTTTGGGCTCGTGGGCGTCTGGACGCTCCTCCTCTTCTGGCCCTTGTTCTTTGTTCTGCATTGGACCAATATCGAACCCGTGAGTATGACCCGCATCTTAATTGAGTCACATGCCATATTTTACTCACATTTGCTCTAGTTTGCACTTCCCCCGTCAGCCAGAGTTTGGGGAATTATTTTTGTAAGTCGGACCCAGCTATCCCGTCCAAATGGTGCGATTCAACATTCCGCTGACTGTCGATCTGTTGGTAGGGCAATTCCCTTGCCTCCTTTATTAGCGATATTTCGTGGGCGTTCGCCATGCTGATGACGACTCCATTGGTCGTCACGGTTGGTATTTCTTTAACGATTCCGCTCTCGCTTATTGGCGAGATGATACAGTACGGGCAATATGCGTCGTTTCTATACTGGATTGGAGCAGCGATTGTGCTCTTGTCTTTTGTGTTTGTGAGCCATGAGAGTAAAGACGAGCCAGAGAAGGGAACCGCTATTGAGATTGGGCCAACGCGAGACGTTGCCCAGGAAGAAGCGTGACGGAAGACACGTGGATGAATTTGTATATAGGTACCGAGGGATAGAGCGATTGTAGATGATAGACTCTGCAATAAATCTTTGGTTTGACAAGAGAACCCTGATTCACTACTTGGTAGTAGGACAGGTTCTTTATTCTCCGTGTCCTGTGACACCCTCTCTCCAACTCCCAACCGGTTGGATGCAATCCACTCTCCATCCTAATGCAGATCACTGGAGTCAGGCTGATTGCAGACCGAAACTGGCTCCTCCCGCTTTGGCACCACTAAGACCCGCTCCTAGCCCAAGACTCGATCCAGGGCCCGAAGCTCGATCTCCAGCCTCGGAACTGCCCCTCACCAGCTCTGCTCACGATTTTATACTGGACCGCGAATTCCAACTTCCTGATATCCAGGTCCCTTTGCCCCTCTGAAAATTTTGGAGAAGGCGATGATCACCCGTTTGTAGCGCCCGGAGCAAACCCTCCAGGGTTCAGTCAACAAAAGAGCCTGCAGCTGGGATTCAAGTTCCCCAGATCTTGCTGCTGTCCCACAGTCAGAGACAAAGGGAACGGGCAAGGTAAGTCGGAAGGGTGCCTAGTTTCCCTCTGCTTGATCGCATGAACACACCAGCCAAGTGGACCCCGATTGAGAGCAGCACACAATGAATCGAAGCTATTGATTTTGGCTAGTGCCTTCCTATTTCTGTCTGTGAAAGAGGGAAGAGACAGTTCCTAATATCTGCCGAGGCGCCCAGCGTTTCTCCATGGCTGCTCCCTTCTCTCCTTTGTCCGACCGAGAAATCAAGGAAGCCGCATCCTCCTACCAACTTCTTCATGGCATCCGGGCTTATTCAGACTCGTCCTACTTCCACTCCTTGATTTCTGGCGCTCGTTATTTCATTTCTTGTTCTCGAGACATTTCCCGCCCGTACCTATTTAGACCCTCATCGTCTGCCTGCATGACTTTAGACGTTTCCTGGTGATTCTCTCAACTTCATTACCCTAGAGAAAGACAGCTTATACCACCTAAAATCGAAACCAACGCCACACTCAAATATTCGTTTCTGCGCCACCTCTGGTGAATACAACTCGGCTTCTCTCTGTTTAGACAGGTTGTGGTGGATCATGAGTCGACATGGCTGCCAATGAAACCGAGACCACTCAGACCGGCTCCATGGCCGAGTCTATTGCCGCTTCCACCAGGGTATTGCATGCGAGGCTTAATAGGCTCATCATGGCTCGCCTCCAGCTGGCCTTGCCACCGCGGATAGCTGATCCCTCCCTGTACATATCAGGGTTGTTCCATATTGCGCCGATCTATATCACCTTCGAGACTCTTTGGGAAAGCATCCTCGAATCTCCGCCCTCGTTGGTCCAGTCTGGATTGCTAATTCGTGGAACTGATCCGTTAACACCGGCCACGGAGAGTGAAGACAAGCCGCCCCCGCGGGCTGAGAGGTCAAAACCACACCATGAGCTTCACTCGGCGCTACAGACCTTACGCCTCCCAGGACTCATGCGATCAGCCAAGCTCAAGGAGGATTTAGGGGCGTTGACGGGATGGCCAGAGCATGTGGTCCAGGAGCAGCTCAATATGATCAGCGAGAGTGGGCACCTTGCTCATTTTCTTGACCATATGCGACGTTCGATCAATAGCAGGCCACATGTCCTTATCGCATATGCCTACATCTTCTTCATGGCTTTATTTGCCGGTGGGCGCTTCATTCGGGCCTCTCTCGAGTCGGTTGGTCACGCATTTTGGGACCAGTGTCCGTCCCCAATCAGGCCAAACATGATGGCGTGCGAGAAAGATCGACGTGACTCTGCCGAGTCGCTAGATACTTCGGAAACGAGTCGCGATGAGAAGTTCCGCGGGCTTTTCGAATCTCATGGGTTTCCGTTGGGATTCTTCCATTTTTCTACTCCAATGGACGGGGAGGATTTGAAACGAGAGTTTAAGAAGCGGCTCTCCGGATCAGAGACCGTTCTAACAGCCCAGGAGAAAGATGATATCGTGAAAGAATCGGTTTGCATCTTCGAGAACATGACCCTGCTCGTTCGTCAATTGGATGAGGTCTGTGTGATACCTGGCCAGGATACAGCTGATACAGATGATATGATGGCTCGACTTCGAGACAGCGTTTCAGTGACAAGAGAGAGAAGAGATTTACGGAACAGCATGAGAAGGAGCGACAATAGCATCTGCAGCGTGGTCAGATCACAAGGCAGACCTAACCTTGCAAAGTCGGCCTTAGAGAACGATTCGGACGTGGTACATGATGACTATGTGCCTCCCCTTCATCCACGAGTTGTTGGGTTCCCCGGGAATGGGCTTTGTCCTGGACTGCCCAAATCTATGAGGTTTGACCAGACCCTCCCTAAGCCCAACCGCCACCATTCTCTTAACGAAGAGCGAGCCGAGTTCTCAAAAAACGCCTCGATGGCAAGATACGGCCGCAACGTTGTAAGCTGCATACTTTTCGTGGCCTTTGGCATTATGTTTGCCGGAGCTCTCGTTACCGGACGAAAGGGCTTGTTGGATTGGTGATGTACATATTCACAACCATGGCAGAGGAGGAAGAGATGTGCGGCAAGTAAACGACGTTACGCATGCATTACTGGCGTTTGTGATTTTGCAATAATTCTTTAGGATACCTAGAAACGAGCATGGCTTTTTCATACAACAAGTTAGACAATAAATTGTCCATTCAATACAGAGAGCACCGTCGGCTCCTCCAAATGAGATGAGGGCCATTGAATCAAGTGACCTACTGTTTTGGCTGAACTTTTGGTAGTCCGAGAACTTCCAGGGTGAAATATTGACTCGTTTTAATTTTCAAGAGCCAACTCGATTCACAAGCGAAGCTTGATACCTTAACATAAGGTATGACACGACGCTGATGACTTTACCTTGCCCACTCTTGGCCTGCTCCAGCTGTCATACGGATGATATCCCCATGGTTACTCCTACAGTACCTATAAGGTAGACTTACTCCTCACGTGTCGCTAACTCCTACATTTTTGCAACTCTGCACCATCAGTATCAGCATATGTTGATTAAGACACCAAATTTGGCCACCAAACCTTGCTCCGTGTTAGGCAATTGATCACACCGAGTGAAAATCAAGGTTGGCCCTGAAAGCTTAATAAAGGGTTCGTGTCTGGATCCTCGTACCTGCAGTTGCAAAGCCACCTCATAAATAGAACTTATGTACTGGAAACTCTATCCCAAAAAAACAACAACAAATGAATGCCTCAGGTGCCTACTTAGGAGCCCAAATGCCCGTGGTCCAAGGAACTATATCTTCCCACGATCTCGCGCGTACTTAATCATTAAATTGCGGCCTGCTCGGGTAAAGACCGAGTTCATAAGCCCACTGCCGACTTCCATCGACAACGCCCCAGAGCTAGCTTGTAACTACACCCGGAGCAAGACCATGCCCGGTCGAAGATACGCCGAGGTATCAAGGGAACCAGCCGCAAACACGATGATGCCTGGAACGACCAGACAGAAGTCTGCAGGATACGGTACATGCGTAACGGTTTACGCCACTGGACAGCGGATTGGTGAAGCGGAATGCGCCTCATAAGCGGTTGTCAGCACGGAGCCCCGCCTCTGTCCCTGCGGCGTGGCGATGTGCGAAGAGCTCATCCTAAAAATAACGTGAGAAAGGTGACGCTTTATATAGGTGTTCGAAATTTTACATTTTCTTTCCAACGTTTCAAGTTTTCAAGTGGCGCCCGTTCTTAGGCATCTTCCACAACTGACTCATCCTTGGCGGACTTCGTTGAAGAATAGAGGTCACTTATCGGCAGATTGCATCAAACTGGGGTTCTGTCTGAGCCATGTGTCGTGTTTCTTGAATTCTGACTGACGGAACCTGGAGATTCGTGTCTTATTGTTTATTTGGAGCATTGTGGCGGTCGGCGAGTCTTGCATCCATCCGTGCACGCGAGCCTGTGTTTGACCCTATTATACCCCTGCCCGGCCTGATGCTCTCCTATACAACATAACACTTGGAATTTGATCATGCCGGGCGAACAAGATAACCGGAAAATCCTTGCCGCCTGCCGCAATGGAGACCAGCAGGCATTGGAGAGCCTGCTCCAGGAATTCGACATTGGTCCTGACCACTGCCAGTTGTATATGAACCAGTCTATCCCGGAGGAGCAGCAGACGCCTAGAGTCCACGAAATGCTCGCGGCTGCCATCCGGGGACAGCACCTAGACATGGTCAAGTTTCTGTTCTCAAGGTTCCACAACACCAGCCTGGGCACCCTGCTAGGCTTGGCCATCAGGATGGGCGACGTGCAGTTCGTCGAGGGCCTGTGCAGCATCGACCCCGACTCGGCCGATTCGGAGGATGATTATAGTAGTATTCTTTTCTACACCGTGATCTCTGGGGATGAGAGGATGGTCAGCATCTTGCTAAAGGCCGGAGCAGACCCCAACAGGTCGGCCTGCCGGGCGTTACCGTGGAATGTCGCGTACTATGCCGTGACCGGGCAGAAGCCGGCATCGATGTTCGAGTTGTTCTTCGACCATGGGTATTTCGTTGATCACTGGACCCTGCGTCAGGCCGTGGAGAGCGAGCGCCTGGACGTGGTCGAGGTGCTTCTCAGGAGAGGCAAGGCCTTTCATTTACGGCGGGCAACTCCGGTGAAGGAGCTTCTGGGCCTAGCCGAAGAGAATAAGGACTGGGAGATGGTTGAGATGATCCAGAGAATGCATCCGGACGGGCAAAAGAGACCGGGGAAGGGTCTTGTGGACAGGATTCTCAAGCTCTTCAACTTAAAATGAGCTAGTGATATGCCGCTCAATTTGTGCTTCACTGGCTTGAAATAACGTTTGTTTTGTTTGTGTATATAGATCAAAGCATGGTTGGGATATCACTAGCGAGAACCATCATTGCGAATACGTCATATTGTGTCTGGAGAAAACATCAATTAATATAGTAGCACTAAATCGCTGTAGATTTGATGCCCGAAAAACGCCCATGCTAAACCATACTGATGTAAAAATGCTGGTCGTGATACCTCGTTAACGTATAATAATCTCAACATCCCGGCGAAAACCGTTACGCCTGCTACGAAAGTCAAACTCCAAAGAGTCAATAGCGAGACTCATGATAAAATCTCGTCATCGTCCAGGTCCCACTCATCTCCTACGTCGGCCCAGCCAGACATCCATCTCTCACCGCCAAAATCACCCACTTGTCTCAGATGCCGTGCCTTGGCAGCATCCTCTTGCCAGTGACGGACATTCCCGTCGTCGGAAGCAGTCACCAGTCTGCCTTGGTGAGTCCAGCTGACGTTGGTGACTTCTCGCTCATGACCACGGACTAGAGGGGTACCGGAGCGGTAGATGGGGATATCGCAATTAGAAGGAGTGAGAGAAGCCGGCGTATTTGTGGCCGTGAAGGATTGAGAAGGAGTAATCAGGACGGGATCGGGCTTTAGAATGTGGCTGTTGGCGGCCCAGGCGGTCCGCATATAGCGTTCATCCGTGGAGAAGAGCATGGGGCAGCCGGATGTGCTGCCAACGGCGAGAAGCTCTGGGCTAGCACCAGAGGCAGGGCGAAGTTTGCTCTTGATGAAGAAGGTCCCGACGCTGAACGATTCGTTCTTGAGACCAAAGAGAGGCCCGATGCCCTCAATAGCACGGGGCTTACGCTTGATGGCGTTGTAGACGAGCTCTGGCGCCTCCCCAAGCATGAGATGGGCGGTCGAATATGCATAAACTGTGCTGTCTCGGCAAACAGCGTAGAACCTAGCAGCATCAGAACTCATGGCGATCGAGGTGATACCATAGGAGCGGAAAGTATGATGGCGAGGAGCAGCGGTTTGAGCGAGTGGGGTAGATTGAGCCCTAACAGGTTTGATGTATCGAGTGTCCCAGAGTTTGATTGATGCGTTGGCCTCAGAGCCAGACAGGAGGAGGTGTTCCCGGCCATCAGGAAACCAATGGATGGCTGTGAGCGAGGCTGGGGTAAATCTGCCTTCAGTCAGGCGAGAGTGGGCTGCGGGGATCACGTTGCTGGCAACTCCGTGGACCGCATCGAGAGAATCGTCTCGTGGGTAGACTCGCCGCCGCGTTGAAGAATCATTGACAGTTGAAGAAAAGGCCCTCGCGGGCAGCTGACTGCACCTAAGGTCCCAGATAGCAATGGTGCCATCACGATCGCTTGTGGCCAAAACATCACCATTTCCCTGTCCTGGCTGGAATGCGACCTGCCGCAGAGAGCTCTTGTGATGGCTTGCAAGAGTAACAGCGACCTTCATGGTTGTGACATCAACAATTCCGCATGTTCTGTCACCGGCGGCGGTAGCGAGGCGCATGTCGTCCTGTGAAAAGGCGACGTCGATGACGGCATTATCGTGCATGAGTAGTGTCTCGTATACTTTGTCCTGCCGGTCGTGGCCGTCGTCTGTTCTAAAGAGGCGTACATATCCTTGCTCATCGCCAATGGCTGTAACGGGTGATTTGCTGCAGCTGGCCAGGCAGAAGGGCAGAGGGTTTCCTTGTCCCTGCACCAGAGACTCATTTGCATACCAGTCGGCATTCGTGCTGCAGAAGTTTGCAGTTTCAGCCCTCTCATCCCATGCCGGGTACGCTAGATACTGTTTGCCTGTGTCCATGGCGAACCCATGCTCACGCTCGAGCATTTGGGCACCGAAGCCCATGTTGGCGAACTTCTTGATGGGAATAGGTTCATGTGTCTCGAGGACATCCTGCTACCATATTAGAGATTGGGATGAGACGCTGTTGGAGATTACATACATCTCTCTTTTGTCGTTTCGGCGTTGGGCTCTGTGAAGCATCTGTCAATTGTCGGTCCTTTGAATTTGGAGCTCGGCCCCGGCTAGCTTTGAAGAATTGACTCTTGAGTGATGTTAGTCCACCTTCTCCGATGACCTCATCACGATGTCCTTGTCTCACCAAAGTTGCCTTGCGCCAATCTCCCAGGACGTCCTGTCCAGGTTGTGTAGTGTCCCCGATATCGAATGTGATCCGTGGGAGCTGAACCTCCCTGCTAGTTGGCCTCGACCTCTCCTCGACCAAAGACTCCTCGAGGCTTCCCTCATTGTCTGCGGCTCTTATCGACCTAGGGCTCTTTGAGGGAGAGGACAAGATGATATCCGGGTTTAAAGGATCGCTGGCTAACGAGAGTGGTTGCTGGTTGGTAGCCGCGGTATCCAGGGTGGCCAATATCCGCCTGCCTCTTAGTTCCTGGGAACGAGGAGTGAAGAACCGTCCAAATCGTCTCGGTGTCACTGATGGGTTTCTCCTTTCCTTCCGTCTGTTAGTTCGTGTGGGAGATAGGAGTCCGGCAATGGGAGAGGAGGCCATTCTCGCCGGGCTGCTACTAGGAGGCGGAGACATGGGTGCAAGCCCATACCGGTGATCCATAGCCGGCGAGAAGACAAGCAGAAGAAGTTGGTCCCAGAATGGCTCTAACTCGACTCTATCAGAAAAGCAAATGCATGAACCGAACGGGCAATGGAAGAAAAAAAGCAGAATGCGGTGCTGGTGCGGTTTTGAGACTGGGGACAGGTGGGCAGGGCAACGTAAAATTAGTACTCTACATGGCAGAGGCTGGGGGACATCTGGTCGGTGGAGATGGACGCGGTTGGAGGCGTCGTGGACGCGGAGCGTGTAAATTGACTATCGCGTTCCCGCTGTCAAGGGTGGGCGGTCGCTGTAGGCGGCGTTGCGTCACTAGAGCGGTCACCTAAGCTCCCTATTGGCCGCCCTCGGGGAGCTCCCGTGCTGATCTCCCTGTCCCAACACACAGCGCCTACAGTGCCTGCATACCAGACGTTGGCAGGTAGCGTGCCGCTTATTTTGGCTGGCTCGATACTTCATCCCTCGATCGCCATCAATCGGCGTCTGGTCTATCAAGGCCAATTTCCAGATGCAATGCAGTAGCCTCCAAGCTTCCTCAACTAACCCCGATCTTTCGTATCTCTTCATTGACTTGGCTCTGAGTCAGCTCTGTGGCAATACTGGAGAAGCCTCTAGGTCCATTTTTAAGGTGTGCAGGAGTTGAGCCACTGTGACCGGCAGCATCGGTGTTCAGCTGCCTGCCACCGGGATCCAATGGTGTCATTTTAGCCCACAATTACCATCGCCGACTTCCATTGTCTCGACCACCTTTTCGAAACATTTCCTAATATTTGGCCATATAATACTTCATAACCCCCTGAGATCTCCTAGCAAGCAATTACTTGATCCTTTGTCTCTACAGCAGCTTGCTCCTCTCCCTATCTCCCCCCCTCGAATTGCACACCTGCGCACCATGTGTCGCTTTCTGGTCGGTCAACCTCTTTCGAATCCCGGCCGGTCCTCGGACTGACATATGACTCCCAGGTTTACAAAGGAAGCGACGAGATCCTCCTATCCAAGCTCATCCTCGATCCCACCCACTCAATTCTGAAGCAATCTTTCGATTCTAGGCTTCGCCTGGTGAGTCCACCTGCATCTGCCGGTCATGTTGGCGGCCAGACTTGTGAACCTTATCAATCCTGCCCTGGACATTTCGCTAATCATGGCCTGCGCCTCCCTCTGATAGGACACTCGAAGAGGCCAGAACAACGCAGATGGCTTTGGAATAGGTTTCTACACTGATCTCAAGCTGGGTCCCGCACCATGCCTCTTTACCTCCACGATCCCCGCCTGGAATTGCACGAACCTACAGCGGATCGCCTCCAAGACCGCCTCACGGCTCATCTTTGGACACGTACGAGCCACCACCGAGGGAACTCTCAGCGAAGACAACTGCCACCCTTTCGCACATGGGAGCCTCATGTGGATGCACAATGGAGGCTTGGGGGGCTGGAAGTACATCAAACGGCGGCTGGCGGAACGCCTTGCAGACCGGTGGTACCTGGGGGTGAAGGGTGGCACAGACAGCGAGTGGGCATTTGCCCTCTTCCTGAACACTCTTGAGCAGCTTGGCCATAACCCTAGCTCCTGCCCAGAAACTGGGTTCGGCCCGACGGTCTTGCGGAAGGCAATGGAGCAAACCATTGCCCAGATTAACGAAATGACCGACGCAATCCCTGAGAGCATTATCCAGAATGAGGATGTCGATACACGGAGCCTGTTAAACTTTGCAGTCACAGATGGCCACAGCGTCATCTGCACGAGGTACATCAGCAGCTCAAAGGACGAAGCAGCAAGCTTGTATTATTCCTCCGGAACACAGTGGGCTACAAGAACATCTTCCCCAGATGACAGACAGTACCAGATGGAGCGACGAGATAAAGGAGCCGACATTGTTCTTGTTGCAAGTGAACCCCTGACATTTGAGAGAGGTACGTCGCTACTTTCCGCAATTAAGCTTTGGCGCTGTCTGACAAGGAAAAATAGAGAATTGGGTTAATGTACCAACAAACTCCATGTTGACGATCCACCGGCAGACCGTGATGATGCACCCCATCATTGACAAGTACTATGAGCGGGATCCTTATCACGTACGATCCAGCGCCTTTGTCCAGGCCAAAGGGTTAGTTACAAACGAGAAGGCGGCATTGAGCGGCTCCCTAAGCCCTGCAACCGAGACACGAGGGGAATCGGAGGACAGCCGAAAGATCGTGGGAGGCGTTGGGGGTATGCACGCGTTACGAAGCTTAAGCCCAGACCTCGCCCGGCGGTCTCTAACACCAGCATCCGCCCAGGACAGGCGAATCATCGCGGAGCCAGCCTAGGAAAGGTGAGCACGCATACTTCCAGGGGAAGAGCTGACAATCGTGGCAAACCGTCTGTGTTGAGCTCGGCGTTACTATACTTTATGCAGGAGTTTATGGGATAGCGTGTGGTTTTACAGGTCCTTCATCGGTTACGGTTTCTGCTGCATTGCACTTGATGTCGATAGCTCATCGTGTGGGTGCTCCTCAACCGCCGTTCTATTGCCATTATCGTATTAGTTATCCTAACATTCTCGCCTCCTACAGCAGGCACTGTATAGTTAGTGAGAGAGGCGGCCAAGCTCCTAAAAGCTTATGTGGCGCCTCACCACAATAAACTGCTTTGATCGTGATTTGGCGCAAACCAAAATATCTCCTGGCACACCTGCAGCCTCTCTAGACCCAATGATGCGTCGCACTATGGTGTAATAAGGTTCCTATCTCAGTAATGTACAAGCCGGTTGGGACTGACCTGCAAAGTCGTTTACGAACGGAGAGAATCATCCGTCGTCTAGAACTACAAAGCCAGACCCCCGCCTGCCATCCCACGATTCCTTCATCTCTGAAGACACCTCGTGGCATACCCTGCCTTGCCTTCTCGCCATATAGCCAAAATCTCTCATCTGAGAAACCAACTCCCTCAAGTCACTCGCTACCAACACTCGATCCTTTGCCTATTCGCCCGGACCATGCCTTGCTGCTTCGCGACCCTCAAGTTCCGGCAATGCGGCCACTCCATGTTGTTCAAGCTTGGCTGCAGTAAGTCGGAATGCGCCGAGATATGCCCAAGCAAACGACGTCAGTTCCTCCTGCAGACGGAGTACATGTGGCGCTGCGAGGACTGCGTCGAGTTCGAGTACAAGCAATCCTCGGACCTCAAGGCCAGCGAGTGGGACACATACTACGCGAGGATCAGATCCAACCGTTTCCTGTCCCCAGAGAACCGAGAGTCGCTCACCCTGACAGCGAGAAACAGGGAGATTCGCCAGGAGGCCGCCCGGGACCAGCGCAGGAGCGGCTGCGTGGAGGAGATCCAGCGCGTCGTCGACTGGGTTGAGGAGTACGGAGGCCTGGTGTGGGATCTCGTCTATGGGCATAAGCGTGACTTCGAGGAGTCGAAGAACCGCCTCCAGTTCCTGAGAGCAGCTAAATACTGGGATCTCATTGTCGTTCTCGACTATGTGAGGAAGGCGAGAGATCCGTGGGACAAGGAGAATTTCCCAAATTGGATCGGTAGGTGGCCCCGGATGATGGGCTAAGATTATACTATGAGCTCACAACCGCATAGATAACCTGATCCAGGAAATACGCGGGATAAGACCAGCTACACCGGCAGCCGGTCCCGAAACTCCAAGAAGCGCCGGAGGGTCCTCGGCTCTTCCGGCTTTTCGGGGGTTCCAGTCGGGGATGTGCAGGATGGCCGCCCTGGACGAGGCGGCGGAACTGACCCAGAGGATGACCGATATTGACATTCAGGGCTCCGGATCAAGTTCTGACATCACCTCCGAATCAAGTTCTGACATCGCCTCCGAATCAAATTACGTTCTAGAGTCGGGGCCTGCCAGAAAGATGTCTCCAGACGAGATTCCTAGGTCATTACCGAACGAGCCGAGCGGACTTTACGACCCTAACGATTATCTTTCCATATTGTTCAACGCGGACGTGGTAATGAAAGATGACGATGCTTCGTCAATTCTGAGCACCGATAAAGAAGAGCCCGACTACATCTCGTAGCGAGTCTTAGAAGCTGCATGGCATTTGTTTGTTGAGCAAGCGCTGTCGTTACGGCGAATCCCACGATATTCTCGTGGGACTCTCTGCCTTGGTTGCTGGTCAAAGTCCCGTCGGGTTATTTTAGTTTGATTTGATATTAACAAAAAAGGTGGAGGTACAATGTGAAAGGTATGGAATCTCAATACACGCTTCATGATTCCTGGAGGTAGTGGATATGGATATAGCCCTTTGGGAAAGACCAGTAACAATATTACAAAAAATGGGAGTTTTTGTTTAATTTAACAGTTCTTTTCGTATTATCTACTTGACCGTCGGATGTGTATTCAAAACCCAAGAACGCCTTTAATTATGCTTACCGACCCACGCGCCATCACGCTCTAATCTACCAGCGAGGTGGCTCCTGGCCATAGCCGCCCTGGTTATAACCTCCCGGACCGCCGTAGCCTCCCTGACCACCGTAGCCTCCAGGGCCGCCGGGGCCTCCGTGGCCTCCGTGGTGGCCGCCATACTGAGGAGGAGGCGGGCCGCTGGGCGGGCCGTAGTCATGCCCACCGGGACCACCAAGATCACGCTTTCCGGGGCCAGCACCGGGTCGACGGTTGCCGAACTCGTCCTCAGAGTCTTCGCTGCTGGTGGAAGCGCCGGACATGGCTCTGGGGCGACCATCCTTGTGGTTCTTCTTGTTCTTCTTGTACCTGTTACCCACCGCAAGTCAGCAAAGATGTCTTACACCCATCTTCAAACACCAAAAAGAACATACTTCTTGACGCCGTGCTCGAGTATGTTGGCACCAATGGCACCGGCTGCAGCACCAGCCAGACTGGCTAGGAAGCCACCCCCGGCCTTGTGGGCAGCCCAGCCGGCGGCACCGCCTCCGACAAGAGTCGCGCCGAGGCCACGCTCGCCGTCCTGAGCGCCGCCGGGACCGCCAGGACCCCCGGGACCGTTGGGGCCGGTGTTGCTCCCCGGGTAGGCCTGGGCTGTGTTGTTGTTCTGGTCATTGCCGAAAGAGGCGGCGTACGAGCTTGCCTGGCCTCCGCCTCCTTCTCGCTGCTGGCCGTACTGAGGTTGCTCTTGGCCATACGGCTGCTGCTGTTGATGCTGGCCGTATTGCGGCTGCTGCTGACCGTATTGCTGCTGGCCGTATTGCTGCTGGCCGTATTGCGGCTGCTGGGCGTACTGAGGCTGCCAGTCGGACCCCACGATTAGCAAACAAAGCTTCTGGTTTCAATAGTTGGGAGGCGCATCGTCTAACCTGTTGATTGTAGCCTCCCTGCTGCTGGCCATATCCACCCTGCTGGCCGTAGCCTCCTTGGTCGCCGCCACCGCCGTAATACGAATTGGCGGACATTGTCGCGATTATAGCTCTATCAGGTAAAAGATATTGTTGGGGAGAATCGACTGGAAAGTGACGTAGGGACGAGTCTACAGGATCACGAATGGCACCAAAGTAAATACGAGAGCGTGCGATGATTCAAACACACCGGCGTGGAGAGCTTATATGTTCCCAACAGCCCTACCAGAGCAAGTCGTCGTCAGCTCCCGAGCCAAGAGTCCACTCGATTGGCTTTGAGCTTGCTCGCATCATCCCTTCTCCACAGGCTGAAGTTTGGAGGGGCAACCCCGAACTCTCACGTAATGGACGGGCATTCGGCCTCGTGTTGAACAGCCACGGTCCGCGGATGTAGGTGATTGTATGTGGCTTGTACCGCATGCTCCAGCCCCGCGTGACATGCTGGTTGCAGCGAGCTGGTGGGGGAATAAGCCACTACAACCGGTCCAAGTCCTGGATTTCCGTTGACAGGTCTGGCGGTGCGCGGCTCTCTCGGCTTGGTGGCAATGCTTGGCGTTGCTGTGGTTTTTCTCCAACAGGTCTCAGAACGCGCGGCCGCCTGTTCGAGTCTTGGCTGTAGCTGGTCCCTCGCTTGGGATGGGAATGCTCGCTCGCAGCAAAGCTTGGCTGGTTTCAATCCGGTAAGAAGAACATCCAGCAAGCAACCCTGCGTTCCTGGGAGCTCGAGGAAATTGAGTTTGACACTGTGGGCACAGAGAGACTCGAGAAGGACCAGAGCGGTACAAACCTCCAGAGCACGCAGCCACACAAGAACAAATAACACCGCCACTTTCACCAGCGACCGGCTACAGGGCCGAGAGAGCCTGGTTGTCCGCCTACCAGTGAGCCTTGAGTAAGACGGTGAGAGCGAGCGGGGACCGCCGATGATCACCTCAATGCGATGGCGGGATTCTTCCCTTTTTCAAGAAATCCCATGGTGCATCTGACTGCCCGAGCTGCAGTTCGCGCCCGTCGCCCCCCTCCATAACGTGATCTGCCATGAATTTCCTCTTTCCCATCCTGTTGAACCCTTATGCCGCCACCGAGGATCGATCTGCAGGTCCTAGTGCTCACCCGATGGGATTTCGGGTACACGCCTTACACTCTTATGAAGATTCCCGTCTTACCCTGCAGCTTCCATTCAGACAAATACTCGTATGTGATTGGCTAGCGCGCTTAGCCCACTCATTGTTCTTAAGGGGAATAGTGCAGGCCGGGGAAAGATTATGTAAGTCGCACGTCAATGCAAATCATCTGTCCAAAGTGGGGCACGGGAAATTCCAGAGAAAACAATACACCCATTGTGATATCACCAGCCTTCCCACATCAAGATATCAATCACATCACATCTTGCCGGGCGCTTCCATGACAATGAAGACTTGCTTTTTTGTCTGAACTCACCCCCCTCCACACACATCATTCTCATCACCATGATTCCACTGTGACCTCGTCGATGCACCCCCCGGAGCGAAGTGGCGTTTGCGCCGCATATCTCCGTTATCTGGGTCACGTAGTTCGTGCAGATGATGTTGAGGGGTTACGTTACTTGGCATAGGGGACGGCAATGTGACAACGATGCAGCGTTTCATCGGCTCAACACTCACTCGCCGATGGGAGATCATGTATATTGCGATTTCCTCGGGGTGCAGCTAATGAAGCGACTTTTGCTGTCTCGACCCGTGAGTGTGCGTAGTGATCCCACCATTAGAGCGTTTCTCCGAGCTCGATAGCTGGGGAACTTGGGATCATATTTCGAGTTGTCAAGGAACCCTAAGCGAGTGATGGCTGTCGGTTAAATGGCCGGAGATTTTCAGGCTTAGCCAGTGTAGCGAAGTGCTCAGTGGTCATGGGACACTTGCCGGTGTGGTATGATGTTGGTAACTTGAGCATTCGGATGGGAGTTAGGTATTCCCGTGAGTAATGGCTCTGACACATCTGCGGTTAGGAGCTAATAGCCCTCAGGGAACAAGTCAACTATAACTGCTGACATTATATCGGAGAGCGTCAACCGGCGTTTCGTGCTTACATTATAATCGGACGTCTTCCAATAACCTACCAACGTAAATTATTTTAGCGCCGTTCTCTCACATAGGTCAGACACGGCTGAAGTGATTCTCTATAGCCAAGAATGCATCGCCACGATCTGCTTAAACATTTAGTGTTGGATGGTAGGTTTATGGCGTGGATTCAGGTCTGACAAGGGCCTTAGACGTGAAGCGTGTCATGACTAGAGCAATAATATACTTGAGAGGCGCTTGCGGGAAGTAACAGGTCTCTCGGTTCACTAAATCCGAAGCATGACGCATAAAACTGCTGACGCTGAAGCCTCCAGCCTTTCGCATGAAGGCGAGGGGCGGGAGGAGGCACAGACGGGCCTTGCTGCCTGACATTCAGGGAGGGAGGGCTAAGGTGATCCGGGGGAATGAACAAGCTCACCGCCCTGTGCAGAGCTACCGTCAATGCTTCCGAGTTGTGTGTAGCGGATAAAGGGCGGGATGTGCGGCACAGAACAAGGTGGCCTGGTTCTCCCTCAACAGATACGTCAAGTATTTGCGAGGATAGCTTCGAAACCGGCCCAACCCAGAGTTATCCGGTCAGGACCAAAGCGCAATACGCAGCTTCGAGAGAGGCCGTTATACCCAAGCCATTATACCCAAGGTTAGCCTGCAGTAGTCGCGTCAGGTAGAAAGACATACATACAGAGTGACTATTTCCGTCCCCGCCTCTCCCACGGCGCTTCCACGACTTCTGCCTCGTGCAGGAAGGTAGAGTAACGCCGAATCAGACTCTGCTGTCCTACCACATGCACATGTAGGCTCACCTGAGAGAAGGAGCCTGCAGAATCTTGCTCTCTCGTGCCACCCGATATGCATCATCGCCCGCCCACACCCACACCCTCTCCGGCTCGTCTGCGAAGGTGTTAGTCCAAGCTAATATCGCGCCTACCGAACGGTGTGGTGCCATCTGGACTTCTCCTGGAAGTTGAAGTTGGTCCTAGCGCTGTCATATGCCAACGAACCCCTCCTCCTCCTTCCTCCTCCCCTGAGAGTGAGGTTCAATCATATCCTCGGCCCATAACATGAGAGAGAGGGGGGGAGAACAGACAAGAAGCTAGCCTGGCGCTCGAGCACGCATGGATATGCCTGTTCTCGCGCCCCCTGCCCCCTGTCAAGATGGCCTTTAACCACTGACGATCCAACACTTTCGTCGCAAATCCTCGACGCATGTCCTATCGCTGATCCCAGGGGGGAAAGCTTGAACCATCCTTGCCAGGGAAAACAAGAGACGATGGCAGGCTAGCTTCCAGCACACACCCCTAGAACACTCCATCTTGGCCGTGGCCGGTTTTCTCGTCCCCTCTCTCTCTCTCTCCACCCGGTCAACCACCATAGCCTTGCCACGCCACAGCTGGGCTTGTGTTTCGTCTCAGGGAGAGGAGACCCAGCCCAACCACCGACCACACTCCCCCTTTAGCACCGATCGAACAGGCCCATGAGCCTGCTGCCATTTTTCCTGGGGGGGGGGCAATAGCCGCGACGCGTCTAACCCCTCCCATCTGCCATCACATCCGCCAGGGGCCGTTTCCCCTCTAAGTAATGCATAGCTATCGCCTGCATATACACGTATCCTACACCGGCGCCCCTAGAAGGGGGAAAAAAGAAAGCGCACATAATAGGAAATCAGAACAGGAAATCCCCTTACCCAAAGCAGAAAACAAGACTGGCCAAGAACATCACGAGACAGAACATCACTGCACCATTCAGAAAGAACCCCTCCTCCTACCTCCACCCGCAGGGGATTTCCCAAGTCGTCGCACAAACGCCAGCCCAGCCCAGCGTAAACTAGAACAGCCCTGGCATTAGTGGCCGGGTCGAAAGCCTGCATGTCAGCAATTGAAAACAGCCAAGATCAACCGTGCTCGATAGCATTATATCGGGGCAAGTTCTGTGACCCTTTTGCTTCCCTCGTCCAGCGGAGCACCGAGCCTCTACTCAAAGCCCGGGGCGGCCGACCAGGTCCGCCAGGCGCCGTGCGGGTGGATCCCAAAAGTCACGGCGCAACCCGCAAAACTCTCCATTTCCTTGCCCATCAGAACATCCGTGCGCGCCTGGGCCCCCCCCCATTCTAGGTAATATCTATATTTAATCCCCCGGCCTCTTGGATCGTGAAACACTCTCGACTTCATAAAAATCTCCTTGCCCACCCCCCCCCCCCTCCATTCACCCCGGCCTATTCCCCAGCAAGACAACTCTGTGTTCCTTATCTTAATTCAGCCCATATCGCCACTCGCTCGGTGGTTTCCCCTGCGATTCTGTGACGTGCTGCCTGTTCGCCTCTATTAATGGAGTTTCTCGGGATCGACCGTGTCAGATCGCCCATCCCATCCTCCGGCGACAGGGCCCTCGAGAGCTTGTCCCTAGCAGGGCCGATGCAACCCCGACGAGTAACCTTACATCCCGAGAGTCTCGCCGAGTACTTGTGAGGAATGTCATGATTCCGTGCTAGTACCGGCCGTTCGCTGAAGGATTCGAGTTTACTTGCTTGCCTTGAGGAGCATCCATGTACATCATCACACCCAGTAGATATTGGTCAACATCATATGTTTCTGAAAACAGAGGTAAACATTGCGTGAAAACTATCGACAAAAGCCAGCCCAAGAAAACGCCCTATCCTGTATGTAAAATCAAAATATCAATGGCCGTAAAATGCATCACTCATAGCCCATTTCCCCAGTAATCATTTCAAATACATGCTTTCCAATGCCAGCGCCGAAGAGCAAAGAGAACAAGAAAACAAAGTGGGAAAACAAAACCAAGCATATATACATGAGAAGACAATTGTATGTACTGGGAGTAACAAAGCCCTCCCTTTCAATATCTCAAAAGCTTGCAAAAGGTCAAATATATAAGTAAGAATCAGAAGGAGTTGGATCAGAACATGATCCATTCCACATCAACTCCTGGGCCTCCGAGACAGCTTGCCCAGTTGAAGGGGCTGCGAGAAGACGCTTTGCCGTCTGGGGTGCCGGTCTCAGAGCCACTCAAGCCCGTGGACCATAGTTTTTCCAGGACTTCAAGTGCAGCAAGATTATCCATATATCCCGAACGGGACATCATATCCAAACACCTGGTTCGGATAATATCTTGTTGTAAATGATTCACACATTCGGATCCAGCCACAAAGAGAGGCCAAAGGAGGAATTTTTCGGCGGAGCTGTTGGCCCCCATGTCCGTGGCGTAGTGAACAACTTGGGTAACTAGCTGTTGAAAGCTGCTGTGCCGCGACGGCAAGTCCGGATTCGCCAATCGTTCCAGGTAGAGCAAGGCGGCGTATCGAAAAGCTTCGGAAAGTGCCCTCAGGTCGCGAGTTTGCGCCAAGCTCGGTGCGCTTGGCAGGTTCGCAACAGTAGTAGAGGCATTGAATTGCCAAGTCTGAAGAGATTGCCTTGCCTCCTGCCATTCGACCCAGAAGACGGAATGTCCAGGGTGTTCTCCTGTATTCCGCACCGGCCGTTTCTGAGACAAGAGATTGATGCGCCCCAGCTTTCGGATGGTGTGGAGCAATCTGTGGTCACAGCCCACCAAGTTCTCAACAACACCCATGTCGGTGGGCAGCTGGGCCTCACGGTCATTTACACTTGCGGAAATGGCGTCAAAGTGAGTAAAGAGACGTTGCATCCAAGACGGTTCGGAATTTGAGGTGTGGTTCGGATTCTTTCTCATAGAGAGGATCTTCTGAATTCCAGCAAACTGAATTTGAAACTTTGCAACGCCCGACTCC